AGGTTTTGGTGGATGAGAAATCAAATGCTTTAATTTGCCCCGGGGGCTTTTTTTTTTTTTTTTTTTGGTAGTGCTAAAGATTACACCTAAAAGTAGTTAAATGTAATCTCAGTTCAAGTTTGTTTGTAAGAACTTTGGCTCAATATATCGCCAATACATTGTCACTCCACAACACTATATGGAGTTATTTGGACGTTTCATCGAGGTCCACGGCAGATAACACAATCTATCTGGTCTACTAATGGAGCCTTATACCACCCACTCTGCGGTGATAGCAACATAATCTCAGCTGTCTAAAAATGCAAAGAAATCATTATCTTGCACTATCTGCCTTTGCCTGATGCCTGTTGCCCCGTGAGTGCCCCTTCCGAGTCCCAAGCAGGAGGCTCGAAACAATCTGAGAGGAGATTGTTCCCCGGGCTCCCAAAGTTAGCAGAGTAACAATACAGCTAACTCAGCAGGGTTTCAGAGCCACAATTTAAGGCTAAATTGGCTTGCTCTTCATAGAGGAACTATGTTTCCTTAGGATTAGCAATAAAGACTGCCTGAGTTGATCTGACAAATCAGCCTTTTACCCCAAAATGTCAGATTATAGGCTGCGATATTTTTATTCAAAAGCAATGGCAAGACTAATCTGTTCAACATTCTCCTGCGCTCAGCTAAAATACACTTAATTGCATCAGGCACTACCAAACATTTTTCAAGCCCAGAAAATAATAACATGCCTGACATTATGGCAACATAAACCGCAAGAAGTACCGTAAAAGATTTGATTTAAAGTCCTCCAATGCTAAAGACGTTCATAGGGAAGGCTTAAAAATCTCACCTCAGCTCACCCCTTCGTGCTTAGGTTCTCGTAGGAGCTGCTGGTTCCCATCCCACACAAGTCACTCCAAACGCATCGGCCATCAAACTGCCCTCGAAGCAGCTGGTAAAGTAACTAGCATTTGGCCCAAAGTACATAACATCTCATGCTCTCTTGAAGACCTCTTCAGCTTCTAGCAATTTCAGGGTGAGGTAATGGCAGATTTTTGGCATCCGCTCCGCATTGCCTTGATTCTGTACAATGCATTGTGTCAGTGCGATGGATCCGAGCCTAGTTGGGGACTCATTAATCCATGGATTTAATTTCTAAACACACAATTTTCTGAAACAACAATGCACATTAACTCCTCCGGAGTTGCTGAAGTCTGCTGCAAATCAAAACCTGTTTGGGACCCCCTTACTGACGTTAGATATTTCAGTGACCATAATGGCCTGGCCTCTGCCAAAACAGCTACCAGACGTTAGCAGTAAGACCCCTACTTTGCACTAGTATGGCAATTTAATTGAAATTTAGGCAATGCCCTTGCTCAACAACAGCTTTACAAGACAAAAATCAGATGTCAATTCATTTTTTTTTCTTTCAAAGTACATGCAGGCACTAATCCTGGAATAATAGGCTCATAAAACATCAGCTTAGAAAAATGCAGCAATTACACTGATCCAGCAAGCTGTCCACTGGAGACAGCTTTGTTTCCACATTTTGCTTCACTGAACTCCACTTGAGAGCGCATTAAGTACACACTCCTGCAGATTAACTTTTCCTCTGCAAGTGAATGGACTGGAAGACTATACACAGCCAACTTCTGGCTCACCCCAGGGAAGGGGGGACAGAATCAGGCCCTTACGGAGTGATCTTCTCTTCCAGCCTCTGGAGGAGCATGGCGTCGCTCTTGAGGCATCTTCTGCTGAGACAAGACAACTTTAGGGATGGAGGTGGGTAGGGAGAGAGAGCAAAAGGTAACTGTCACATACAGCTGCTCATGACACATCTCAGACAGCTCCCTTAACTCCAGCCTGACTTTGGACACCTGATCTCTGGAGGAGGAGGAGGTCTGTACTTAACGTTGCTGTCACCTGGGCTCAGATGCTGGCACTAACCTAACTCCCAAGTGCCCAGCCTGCTGTTCACTGAGATTTCTCAGGAGGTACAAATACAGCTTAATCAATGGATCTGGCCCTTCACGTACCACGATGCTCTTGTGGAAGGACTTTGCCATGGAGATAAACCATTTCTTACATAAAATGTCCTCTTGGCACAGAACCTCCTCCCATGACTTTCTGCCACTGGTCCTCACTCTCACCCTGCCTCGTGATTTTGCTCTCAATCCCATTCCCATCCTTGCCAGCCTCAGCCTCCTCCGACGCAGCCTTGTGCTCTGAGAGGAAGGAGTCCGGGTAAGCAGATGTTTTTCTTCTCTTCCTCATCTCACAGGGAGAGCTCAGCCGCCCGTGGTGGGCTCCATGTAGGCAGAGCTGCCGGCAGCTGCGAGGCAGAGCCAGTTTGGGCACGTTTCAGCTGCCTTTGGCTGGAGGCCATGCAACAGCTTGGTAGAGGAATATGCCCAGAAGAGCTGAGTGTCCATCAGCTCTCTACTCGGGGTAGAATTCTCACGTGGGGTCACGCGTGGGACGGAAAGCATTCACCCCTCCAGTTAGAAGGAGGAACCTCGCTGAGATAGGACCCCACCTGAAGCAAATCATTAATTACTCTTATCTCCTATCAATGAACTCAAATTGCTTACCCATAAATACCTGGAATTAAATAGGTGGATTTTCTGGGAAGATGGACCCTTGATTAGTCAATTTGAAACTATGCAACTGATCTTTCACCCACTGAAGTCGACAGCAAGAGCTTCCTTTGATCCCATGGTACCAGATCAGGTCAGATGGAGCTCAGAGATCATCATCCTTGACTGCAAATACAATCGCAGTGGCTCAGCAGGAAGGAAGTTTGATTCTCCTAGAGTTTCTGCTTGTCACTTTGTCACAGTGTGTGTTATTCAAGACACTGAGCAGGAAAAAAAAAAAAAAAAAGCAGCAGGCCTGGGAGCTGAGACAGAGGGGCGTGTGGTGGGTCTTTTTATTTTTTCCCCTCTTAACAGACTGAGATAAATGTAGCAATCCAAAAATGTGGAGGTGGGAAGGACGTGTGTGTTCATGTGCCTTTTATCAACTAGAGGATCATTGGATGTATCTGTTACCAAGGAGAAGCACACGCTTGGTAACAGAAGAGAGCAAAATTTTTTTTTTTTATTTTTTTTTGCATTCCTACACGATAATAAATATATATTTTTTTTTGCATTCCTACACGATAATAATCGCTAACCTTATCATTTCTCTCACGATGAAAATTCAGAGCCCTGTATTAAATTTCACTCCATGACAAATTTACTGGAATGAAAAGAGAAAAGCAAAAATACCCCAAGCAAGAGCGCAGGAATGCAAGCTACTGGGGTGCAAGGGTACCAGCAGGACTCTCACAGTGCTGCTGGAGCTGCAGGAAATTACACTGTATTTAGCCCCACCGCTCCGAGGAGCTTTCGGTAAGAACCAGGCGTCCCGCTTTGGGCAGCCCCCTGGTAAGGACCTGGTAGAACAGAGGCAGAAGTCAGAGAGCTCCAACAAGACCAGCACAGCTCTTCATGGGGGAGCCCTAGAGGGTTTGTCCGTGCTCTGCTTACAGCCCAGCCGAGCTCCGACTGCTCTTTATAACCTTGTGACATACCCTGATGGGGGGGTGAAAGCCTCCCGTGGGGCTGGATAATAAACAAAAAAGCAGAGACCCTCCGCAGACTTTTTCTTAACAGCACTCTAGGGGGGGGGGGGGAAAAACCCGCATCTTCTGCCCAGCAGTGCTAACAACAACTTCTAATTGCCGAACTGCACCCCCTCCCGCAGCATCTCCCGCCGCTCGGCGGAGCGAGGGGTACCTGTCCGCGCTGTACCTACAGCCGAAACGCCGCCGCCAGCCCGCACACCCTGCCCGCTCCCCGGCAGTGCCCGTCCCGCCGCTAAAAACGTGTTTCGGACTAAAAAAAAATAAATAAACAAACAAACAATCGGGAGAGGGGGGAGTAGGGTGCGTGTGGAGAGAGGAGAGGACAGGTCAAGGGAACGGAGGTGTTTGAAAGAGGAACGCAAAATCACAGCCGCGGGAGTCTCGGGGCGCGAAGGGGCAGCGGGGCAAGGAGGGGAGGGAGCCACAAGCCACCCCGGCTCGGTCCCCTCCTCCGGCGGGGTGCGGAACCCATCCTCCCGGCCGGCGGAGAGCCAGCACCCCCATCCCACACCGCCAACATCCCCCACCGACACACGCACAGACCCCGCCACCCCGAGGGGGGAAGCGGGCAGCCCCGGCAGCGGTACCTTCTCTCCGGTGAGGACGTGCAGCCCTTCCCGGACCTTGGCGAAGGAGCCCTCTCCCAGTTTCCTGCCGATCAGGTAGTTGCCGACCCTCTTGGTGTGCTGGAAGTCGCGGAGCCGCTCCCGGGGCGCCGCCGCCGCCGCGCTCAGCCAGGCGGCCAGAAAACTGCCCTCCGCGCCCGCCGCCGCCGCTCTC